CAGTTATCTGCATATGCCTTCATGTGACTTTTTTAGCCTCCGTTACACCCCTTCAGCATGATCCAAACAATGATGGATCCGTGTAGGGAAGGAAAGACGAACATATCTGGAAGTGGCTATGCTTGAGACTCATGTCGTGTACTTGTGCAAGCCACTTCACCCCCTTCTTATAATGTTATTTCAACCGGGACTAGTAGTACGCATAGGCAACAGCACAATTGTCTTAGAGAGTATAACCTGCCTCGAGCTGATAGATTGTTCTCCCGGGGGGCAGGCAAATTGATCTCAATTGTTCACTGCCGTAGGAGCGAGAGACCAACACTTCTACACATTATGAACCACCCAAAGCCAGATCAAACTTGATGCCCTTAATTCTAGAGTTTGATTTTGAATTTCTGACCTATAGGTTTCATAGACAGCAAGATTGCACAGCATCTCAGGGGCCTTGTTCACGCCAAGATTCGCGTCGTCGTTCTTGAGCCGGATTCTCACATGATGCAACGGTACCAAGACCTGGTCAAGAAGGAGTCTGCCAAGCTACAAGGTGTCAATTTCGACTGGAGGCAGCAAACATTCCAGGAGTATCAAGCCACCGCGGAGGAAGATGAAAAGTTTCATTTCATCAGTTGCATCAGCTCCATTTATTATTGCGGAGACTTGGACAAGTCTCTCGAGTACCTGTACGGGAAACTGCACGTCGGAGGCCTCTTAACAATTGTGCTGATGGCAGGTAATAGAGCTCTTCCAGAAAAAGCTACTTTGCGTCAAGCGGTGCATGTCAAGTCCATTTCTCCTCGGTTTCAGAGAGACATTCGCTCAGGACACTCCAAAGCCACTTTTGTTGTTTGTTGCTGTTCTGACCTGTTCCCGAATCTCATAAAACGGTGCATAAATGCTTTGAATTTTTTTATTTAATTAGGCTGAACTTGCTTTTAAGAATTATAAAATTTTGAAAAGAACCACAGATACGCGAAAAGATTAGGAGTGATGCTTAGAAATGGGTTGTAATGAGTACAGGCTTACCCACAAACTGAATCCGAATTTGCTCTATGCTTTTCCTATTTAAATTCCACGGTTTTTACGGGTCCAAATGAAACGAGAAAATATCAGTTGTAGCCCTGATGAGAGGGGCTTTTTTACCTAAAAATGACAGAGCACATCCGAATTCAGAGTCTAGGTAAATCTGACTCGGGCCTTTTAGAGCAAAGTTATGAATGATGTCACTCATTGTGGTCATTTTGTTCATTGAAATGCCTGTTTTTCAACTTATGAATATTGAATATAGGTGAAGGAGGATTTGGGAGATTGTGGGAGTACCTTAACAAAACACTGGGCAGAAAAATGGACTTTTTCACGTCCACTGATGTCGAGCAAGCTTGCAGAAGACAAAATATACCCATCGCAGACACGCAGACGATCAGGATCACTTCCAATATCTCAGCCTGCTTTGACCTACCTCAACAACTCTCCAAAGGCGGCGACATCCTTCTGGATTTCCTGACTCACACGGTCAACTTCGCTCAGAACACCCCCACGGAATACCGGGACGAGGTGCTGGGGTACTTGAGGAGCGATGCCTGCTCAGGAACTGGCCCGACGGGGGAGGTGATCTTCAATGGTTTTGATTCCGCTGTTATCATACAAAAACAATGATAACCGACAGTAATTGAAAGATGACAGTCTATACATGGAAAATCTGTTTGTTTCACAGGGATCTAGGTCGCGATCAGTGATCCCAAAGCTGGTTCGCGCTATACTTTAGGCGGGCTCTAGTTTCCTTGAACCAGTGCAAGATCAATGATGTGATCCGGATCCGCGTGAAACAAACAGGTCAGGTTCTTTTTAAACTAAATCCAATCTTTGCAGAATCGCTAAGTTTTTTATGCGACACAATGAAATGAGTGAATCTTGTATGTTTTCGAGAATATAACGTACATGTATAAATTAAGGTGAAGGAAAACGAATGCAGAGTCTTCATATAAAATCATCTGTACCCGTATTAGGACACAGTACCTTGAAGTCACAGGCAGCCATCTTACCGTGCCCAATACAAATACAATGTAAGGCAATGCTGATGGAATCAATACTTGGTAAGGCAATGCTGGTGGAATCAATACTTACAACAGCACACAATCCAAAACTCACCTTTGTGTTCGACGCGGTAAAATGGGCGCCGGTGGCTTCAATCGGTAAAAAAGCACTGCGAGGCTAGAATTTTTTTATGATGCCGGTTGTTACAATTATGAATTATTACTCTTTGGTATTTCAAAACAATTGAGGGCGCTTTTAAACTAAGCTACACCAATGGCTTACATTTTCTAGCCGAGGCTACGCTGGCACACCTCAGTTTGGAATACACGCAGCTTTGCTGAAGGACTGCAGGACTGCAGCATTTTGAAGTTACCCGCAATAATGTATCAAACCTTTTATTTAACGCTGTCAGTGCTTTTTATGCAAAACCAAATGGACCAGTACTCGTTGAAAACAATGACTCGACGTCACAACTAGAAGTGAAGTGACGTGCAAGTACTAATTTAAGCCCCATTGAAAACCGTGCACATGTGTAAAATCAACAAAGTTCAGGGCACACTAACATACAAGCCAACATCACTAGGGTTTCTCAAGCAAAAATGGAATTATCGTCTTCTGCTTATAAATCCTTCCATTTCTTTTCAGTTCTTGGTAGGCAGGCCAATTACATTTTTAGATTGTTCACACAACAATCTCCTCGCAAAGTGATAGCTCTCAAGCCTGCAAAAAGCCATTTTGTCAGATGGCATCCCTCTACCTTCTCGGATACGTAAGACCATATTTTCAGCCAACATTATATCAATTCTAGTGGCTAAGAAGCCTCTTTTTTAAAGGGAATTGTGGGAGCACTTTCATGCGACTGAGCTCAGCAAAAATTATTATTTGAATTACTGTGCTGCATGAACCCATAATGCCTCCAAAATGCGCCCTAGCGCAGGGCGGTGTGTAGAGACGTCTTAGTTGCAAGACTTCCCTGTAGTTTATTCCTCGATCCGAGACGATTCATAAGTATCACAGTCGTAAACTATGCTGTCTCCAGACGAACTGATCGAAGTCAGAAAAGGGGCCCAATAAATACAGCACCCCCTTTGTCGACGTGTAATCAATCAGCAGATAACCTCGCTCCCTTGGTTCTAACTATGTGTATAATAAGTTTTCTTATGTCGGTGATCAATACTCCTACCCAACTTGACAGTGTGTAGCAGGGAATCTTTGCCTTGCTCGTCCCAGAACAGAATTTGCTAAGAGAACCTTCCAATACCGGGAGTCCAATCTTGGAACAGCCTGCCTTGCCTCGCTCGTCTCAGAACAGAATTTGGTAAGAGAACCTTCCAATACCGGGAGTCCAATCTTGAAACAACCTGCCTTTGCCATTAAAAGAGCCTCTTTCAACAAGTTTAAACATTTTTAAATGTTTATAAAATTTTAATGTAATGTCTCCTCTAAAGATAAGTTGTAATTATTTTCGATTAATTTCGTAAATCTCTATACTCATTTGTATTTTTTTCCTTATGCCTGTGCACACTTTTCATTATTGTTAACTGGGACCTATAGGAGAACAGTTTTTATAAACTGAATGGGTTCCCCAATATAAATAGAGATAAATACCCGAACTTCAAAAATCAGGAAAAGATACTCACGAGTTTCTCAGACGTTCGAGACCCACATTCAAGTTAAATCAATGCCCAGCTCATGATTTTTCGTCTCCTTTTCAAGTTTCCAACTATGAGCCGATGACTTTTGAAGATACTAATTTCCATGGAAGCTCACCCCTAAGATGCAGTGGTAAAGCCCCTCGTCATTTTGAAATATCGATGCCTACATTTCTCGAGAAATTGACCTTTAACTTTTCAGGCACCGATTTCTTCCAAATCTCATTCAGACGCAAGCTGGTATTCTCTTTGCCCGCTTAAACTTGTCTTTTCTACAGATCTTCGAGTTCGTGGGCCTCAAAATGCTTTATTTCGTAGAGAAATCGAGTGCATAAAAATTGTGATTTGGCCCGCGCAAACAGTTTCAAGTTTTGGCCTATTTACTGGTCTGCATCCTACAGTTATACAACGTGAAAGCTGACCGCTATTTTTAATGGCACGCTTCCGGAACCCTTAGCCAGGAAGAATAACGTGCAAACGTTTTAGAATTTGCAATTTTTTCGTTCGTTTATTTCTAAAAAAAAAATCGCCTCAAAAAAGGCCTATATGTTAAATGTTAATTAGCATACTTCATAAAGTTGACATTTACCTGACCTGAGGGAGAAATAGTTAAGATGCCATGTAATTACTGACCCCTCACTTCCAAAAATTTAACAGTTATAGGGAAATAAACGTAATATAATAATACTGGTGTACAAAGTTTAATCTGAAGTTTAATCTAACCTTTGCTGACTCCTGCGTCAGGTCAACCCTACTGAACCTTGAACCCATCGCTTGCACTAGGAAGGTAAATCTTTGCAATGTTGTACAATTTCGTTTGCACGTAAGCACATGAAGTGAAACTAAGCGTGCATACTAATGGAACGATATTTCTGGAAGTGAAAAGTCTTTAAAGGCAATTGGTTTTACCCATCTTTAGTCCAAAAACTACATTTCGAGGATATTTCTTTCGGTACGTTTTTGCACCCCCATTTATTTTACAAATGGAAGAGGCTCACAGACCATCGCACGAATACAGCACTCGGCTGCCGTTCCCTTGCGCTCCCCCTCCATTATTATTATTATTATCCTATTACCTTCTTTACTCGGCCACGAACGTGACCCCCTGAACTCCCACAGTGGTCGATACAAAATGGCGACTGCTTCCAGTTCCCCATCTATACAGGATCTGTCAGACAGTGGTGACTACTACTTGACTGCATTGGATGTGTACGATCGCGGAAGCGGCAGAATTCGGAGGATCTGCGAATGGGCAGGTGAAAACATTCCCGCTCTTGCCGACTCTATTGACGTTTCCCTGTCCAAAGATTCTGCGTTGAACGTGCTAAGCGTCGGTGGCGGAGACGGTGAGCTTGTGTTAACTGCATGTTTTCAATCATTTAGAACTTACAATGGTAGGGAGGCTAATAGTTTTTCATTTATTTTTTCTGTTTTGCAACTAGATTTTAGGGTTTTTTGAAGTTTTACCATCCCTTTTCGAAAAACCCATTTTTTTTGCTAGCAGAAATTTGGATTTTACTGTGACGACAGCTGGGTGGTCCAAAAGTGGACAAGTTAAAAACGGCGGAAGGACACTTTTCTCCCTACGTTGAAATGGAACGGTCTTGGGAAGATTGGCATCACCCGACCAAGAAAAAAAATTATGAACGAAAGTTGCGAAGTGGCTGCCAGAGTGACGGTCCGTTGTAGTAGTACTGCGCAGCTGCAAACGTGTGGAGCCAGCCCGTTGCTGTGATTGGCCTTTTTCGAGCACCTTGTATTTCCATTTCTACGATCAAAAAATGAGAAAATGGGGTTGTCCACTTTTGGAGCATGACAGCAATTTTGCCAGTGGGAATTTGAAGTTTTTAGTTTTCTACTTTTGACGCGCCACGAGAGTTTTTAAAGTAAACGCCAAATTTCTCCTAGCGGAAAAATGCGTTTTTGAAAATGCTTCAGGCAAATTCCAGAATCCCGTAAATCTACTAGCAGAATATGAGAAAATGGGGTTGTCCACTTTTGACGCGCCATAAATGCGACACAATATTTTCAGTACGTTGTAGTTTTCTTGAATTTATTGTGTTGGTCACTCATTAATGAATTCAGGTCGGACAACTCATCCAGCTAACCAGGTAATCCAACTAACAGTGTCACAGAGTGGTAAAACTGAACAGAAATAATGAGCCTAAAACGTCAGGTCATTTACAGGAGGAAAACATAAAAATATGGGTTAAAATTACAAAATAAAATCAGCTAAATTGAAACCCAAAGATGCAATTTCAGTGATTTTAGTAAAATCTATAAAAACATTTCTATTTCATGGTTCCTTTAAAAACGAGGAACAAACAGCGCAAACCTTGTGCGGGTATGTTTTATTTTTCACAGCCCCCAACTTAAGACCCTGGGTTTTTCAGAGAGTGTGGGCAAAGTGCACATTATAAAGAATATTATCGCTCTGCTGTGATTTCTTTATTTTTTCTTTTCGGTTTGCTTGCTTGCTGTTTATGCTTAGAAGATCATCAGCTGCTCTGTTCATGACACAGCTGGGTCATGTTGTGCACCGTGAATGCATGAAGGTGCATCAGGATTATTATGGTGGCCACTGAGCGCAGTTTGTAGTTATACAAACGCATGTCAGCACTATACATGTAGCTTATAACTCCTTCCATGTTTCACTGCCCATGCGCCACAATCAGAATTGGGTCATTTTGTGCATAATGTTTCTCTTTACACTTATTCAACATTTTACATGTTCATTTTTTAAAAACTCGATTTCAATAATCTGATTTAAATCAAAGCAAACGTATTCTTTTAATTAAAAAAAAATCATTTTATTTTTAGAAAATGATGATTGTTATCAACCCTGTCTCCATCCCTCCAGCCTGGCCTTTCTGTCCTAATTGTCACAGCCAGCTTCTCCCCAGCCCTTCCTCTCTTTGCAGATTTTTCTTTTCCTCTTTTACCACATAATCTGTTCCTTGTTGTCTTACGTTTACTCTTTCCGTGCCTTTTCAAAGTTTTATCATTTGTCTTTCTCTACTATTTGTTAAACACTCTAATACGGAGCTCTGGAAGTGCCACCCGACTTGTTCAGATACCGAGATGGTTTTTCTTATTAAGTCGACTTATAAAGCGTATTTAGTCGATTTAACGAGATAAATGATGTAGTCAAGTCGACTTCCTAATTCTAGTAAGTCGACTTGGCGAGATAATCCATGTCATCAAGTATACTACATGCAGGCAAGAACTGACTACTCACAAGTGAACGTGACCTGCAGCGTATTTTCTCGCCAAGTCGACTTGCAGGAACTGGGAAATCGACTTGACAACAAAATTTATGTCGATGAGTCGACATAGTGAATTCTGGAAGTAGACTTGATCACATAAATTATCTCGCCAAGCCGATAGAGGGAACTCTGGAAGCAGGCTTTATGTCATAAAATACATCGCGATGTCGACTTACTATAGGTGGGAAGTCGACTTAACTACATCATTTATCTCGTAAAATCGACTAAATACGCTTTATAAGTTGACCTAAGATAAAGTATCTCGGTATCTGAACAGGTCGGATGGAACTCATAGAGCGCCGTACTTTATCCTGTCTGCACCTCCCCTTTCTTTTCCTTGACTTTGTTTCATAGTGTGTGCAAGACTTGCATTAGGGCCTAATCTGCAATAGTCGGTGTTTTTGTTTTGTGTCTTAACTTGTGTGAGACTTTCGTTTGTTTGTAATGATTTGTGTAAAAGTTTTGATGTATTTTAAATCCTAATGCACTTTGTCAGACGTACTGTTTACGTGCAAAATACCTACACTTGGCTTTCTGCCCCATTGACGAAACAAAATCGAGCAGTCAGTGCGTCAGTGAGTCAGTTGGTGAGCACGCGTGTGTCATGACCATGCATGAGTTGACGGTCGTTGAATACCACCCCAATACGAAAGGTGATCCCTTTCATGTTTTACTTCCTCTTTCTCGGGAAAAGGGTGATCGGGATAACGTGAGGTTACTGACGGCTTCGTTGATTTTTGAATAAGATATGGCAATCTGGCCAGGCCTATAGGTTGTAAATATTATTCAACTCCAAAGCTCTTGATAATTGCACGCGCTTTCTATCCGCCTGGAGCAGAAGCACCCCTCATCGGTCGAAAAGAGGGCTGCGTTGCTCGGGAGTATTCCTTTTGCTGGTAGCGATGCGACTGCAAGGCATTTCCTATTTGTTCGTAAACCAGCGATGCAGTCAGTGGGGGCGCAGTCTACTAATTCAAGTGAGAATTTCAAGCTGGTTCATTAGCATTAAGAGTGCCCCTTTTGTATCTTTGGAAAGGAGATTGTTCCGTCCCTAAAATGCTGAGATTGTGGATTGTTGCCAGGATCAACTCTCTGGGTCATTGAGCTTTCATGATGAGAGCAGAATGGCTCCAAAATACGGTTGAAAAATGGTCCTAAGTGCCTGAGAAAATTGAGGGTTGCCACTTGAATAATGGCTGCAATCTGATTTCCCCCCAAAAAATCACTTTTTCGGGGGTTGATTTTGTTTTGTGGGAATAATTAAAAATGTAATTGTTTATTAAACCCACAAAAAAATGGAAAATAAATTGAAAGTTTATGGACCAGACAATTATTTCATTTGTGTTTCAGAAACCTCAGGGATGTTGGTATGCATATGATTGTGTCCTTGACAGTGCTGATTTTACAAACTTTTCAATGAGGCTTGAATTGATGATCTGTACTCTTAGGAGGGTGCATTCCACCAAATGGTCGTATTTCTGTGCGCGAGCTCATTAATATTAATATGAATTAATATTAATATTAATTAATATTAACCCATTTTAATTAATATTAATATTAATTAATATTAATATTAATTAATATTAATATTAATTAATATTAATCAAGAGGGATCATAGAAATGTATCAATGCTGGTTTCCAGTTCGGGGTATTTCTTTCAAAATAATCCCACAGTTGCTGGCCTATTTTGGATAGAGGAGGGCGGCTACATTCAGAGCTGAGCGCATATGTATAGTTTTACTGCTATTTGGGGGCTGTCTTCGGGGAAAGGCGAATAAATAAAATTTTTGTGGCTAACCCCGATAAAATTGAAACGAAAAGTGATCTTCCGGACATTGTTGTTGAATTTCCAGTGAAAAAAACGGAGGCCGAAATCTTCACGAGAGTCAACAGGCAGCGCTATTTCAGTCTGATTTTGCACTGTTTTCTATGGGTGCGTGTCTGGTGTAACGCTACCTTAGTACCCAGGGAAGCTCCATTGGTCCAGATCGAAGCCCAGGTTCAGACCCAGTTAATTATACCTTGCCGATCTTTCCAGTTTAGCGTGACTTTTTGTCTGTATTTGAACAGGAATGTCTGACAGCACAATTTTAGCCCGTCTTCTGGACAGGACGCATCCTAGGATTCGTGCCGTCATCCTTGAGCCGGATTCTCACATGATGCATCAGTATCAAGACCTGGTCAAGAAGGAGTCTGCCAAGCTACAAGGTGTCAATTTCGACTGGAGGCAGCAAACATTCCAGGAGTATCTAGCCACCGCGGAGGAAGATGAAAAGTTTCATTTCATCAGTTGCATCAGCTCCATCTACTACCTTGGAGACCTTGAGGTTGCCCTGAAGCGTCTTTATGAGATTTTGGCTGCTGGTGGTATATTGCTCGTTACACTTGTTAAAGGTATATTCACATTTTGAAGGCGCCAATGTTTACTTTCTCAAGGGGGAAGACGGAGCATAGAAAAATGTGGATCATTTTGGTTCAGAACTCATTGATTTGGATGGCTGGCATTGTAATAATAAAGAAAGATGTTCTGTTCTATGTAGAAAATAGCCGCGCCTTCATGCTTTGCCGGTTTCCTGTGTCGTATCGAGATTGTTTCATGCCACACTTTGGCTTCAGAATATTGGCATTATTTCAGTAGACAATGCCTTGATATTGTCTCTTAAAGTTCACTTAGTGTACATTTAGACCAATGTTATGCAAACCTTATTTGGCAATACTTGTCCATATTTAAAATGCTCATATGATTTTGCATACACCCTCATGCTCGTCATCTTGTGAATATTACTGCAAGTTCCATTGTCACTGAAACAGGTGCATAATAAATTGTATAAGCTAGTCAGCCTTTTAATACCATGGATCAAGGCATTCCTGGTCAACAGAATGGCTGCGTATCTGATCACTTTCCTTTTTGTAAAGGATTTTTCTTTTCAATCCTTTCATGCCTTTTCAGGAGATGGGGGTTTCGGAAGACTGTGGCAGTACCACTACAAGTCTGTGCGCACGCAGAAAACAAGGTACATAACGTCATCTGATATAAAAGAAGCCTGCAGGAGGCAGAGCATACCCATCGCAGACACGCAAACAATCAGGATCTCTTGCGATATCACAGCCTGCTTTGATCCGCCTCAACAAATCTCCAAAGACGGGGACCTTCTTCTAGATTTCTTGACTCACACGGTCAACTTCTCTCGGAACGCCCCGGCTGTATACCGAGATGATCTGCTTCAGTTCTTGGGGAGCGAAGCTTGCACATACCGGGGCTCAGACGGCGAAGTGATCTTCAACGGGAACAACGAGGCCGTTATTATCCGAAAACAGTAACTGTGATGGCATTCAGGCAAAAATCGTGGTACTTGTATTTTGGTTTTATTTGTGTGTGGTATAGTGTTTCCTTTCGGCTGCGTGCACTTGTGGGGTACTGAAACGGTTTTTTAGTTATAAATAAGGGACGTTTGGTCGAAATTTCACTTAAAGAAAATGATTCAGGACCAGATGGAAGCAATAAGAAAATTTTGCTTCGCACACTTATTTTTTTACACAAAAGTACACGAGAACAAAGGAAATTCCCCACAAGGATACAAGTGTAGGAGTGTGTGAGTAACTTTTGGTCAGCCAGCGGCCGGGGTTGGTCTACTTCTGGTGTTTCTTCCATGATGCCTAATATAGACACTGTGCTTACGTAAACACACTAGTCAAATTTTATGTTGTACCGTGGATCACGTTTATTCCAAAGTGTATCTTCAATTCTTTCTAATATTCTGCGAATTTAAGAGCCGGTTTTTTTTGCCTTGTCACAGCCGGGGGAAAGGGGGGGGGGCGGAATCTGCCTCCCCCAGATCTCGGCCATACGATGAATTATTTCAATGAAATTTGGCACGGCCATAGAGGCATACATACTAATCATCTGTGTGAAATTATATGTAAATTAAAATGTAAATTAAAGCTTTTGCATTATTATGACTCATTAATTATTCATGATACCAAGTTTTTATCTTCTTTCGATTGTCGATGCCGTATGGATTGTATATTCAGTGGAAATGAAAACCAGAGATTCTATGAGCTGTATACAGTAATATGTAGAAGTAAATTATACAATTAATAAACCTTCCCCAAAGCAAGAGACTTCCTGACAAAAGGAAACCGCTGCCCTTTGTACCATGTACTTCTGTGTACAAAGTCAATGGTAATTTTCACATCATACTTCACCCTGCCTCCTAAAATTCTTCACTGAGAGAGAACGCCATGTCTAATTTTCCTAACTTTGGTGTCACAATTAGGCTAATACATTCGAAAAAAATTGTAATAAAAGCATTAGAACGCAGAAATTAATCCCGAAGATTCTATAAGCAAAAATTAACAGGGGGCGGATTCTGCCGCTCCCCCCAGCTCTTTTAGGGTTAAGTCTTTAAATTAGTTGGTTGTAACATGGAACTAATAAGTGCCTGCCCCGTTTTCACAGGCCGGGTCCCGGCCCCTAGACAAATAAACCTGCAAAAGTGGTCCTGGTATTGAGCGCACTCAGTCCTAGTATGGCAGTTTCACCAACCCCCTTCTCTACGTCCCCCCGAACATGCGTAACGTCTTCCCAGCGCCCTGGAGTTTGGATTCCACCCGCCAGGCACAGAACCCCCGCTGAAACCCAGCGGCCATCCTCACATAATAAATATTCCTCCTGACAAATGAGCAGAAATCTAAGGATGTAATTCTTTATTTTTCTTCTTAAATTAATCTACAGTGTACAATTTCAAAGCACTTTTCATGGACTCTACTTAAAATGCGGCGAGTAGGTTCTATATCGGCCTACATGTACAACAGCAGAACCTGGTAACGGACAACAAAAAAGACTGAATTTCACATTCTGTCGTACGACATTTCCGGATAGGGTAGGTACTCATGATGACATCTTAGCCCATCACTGAAACAGATGGAAGAAGGTGTAACAAATATGTCATGCGTCCCATGTTTCCCAGTAAAACTGAAATCATTCAATGAACTCCATTTGCATTACACCATAAATATGCGTGTGACAAAGGAAAGAGCTGGAACAATGTACTTAACGTGTTTGTAACAGCGGTTGGAATAATTCAGCATGCAAGACCAAATAACGGCAAAAGGAAACAAACGTACATGTATTTATTATTTCTTCAACTCCTCTGCGTTTCAAAAATTTTTTCGCTGTCCACACACCTGCTCTGAACAGTCCCCGTCGAAGTAGCTGCAATTATAGCTCTAGCCTTGGAGCTCAACAAGTGAAAGACAGAAACAGATCTCACGAAAAGCCAATGCGAGCTGAAGCAAGTAAAAGCGTGTTTTCTATTTTAGGGATACCCACAATATCGTTCAGAGCATCTTCAGGGCTGATCGTTAGACTGCACTCTTGATTTATAAGTCAAGTAGTAGCGATTGTCGACTGCCTTGAAGTCGGCGCAATCAGCCCGAGAACGAGCATGGTCATTGAGCTGGCACACTTTCTCCATCTTGTTGCTCTTCAACAGATCAAAAGAGTGGCATCGATCGGTACCCAGCCCGACATGCCCAACCGAAGGCAAGCAGACCCTCCACTGTCACACTCTTGATGTTGTGATGGAGAAGGCACTGCTTGTGGACACATCCATTTGGACCGATATAGGTGTGGTGGATTGGTACTGTCGAAGCTGTCATCTCGCGGGCAGCGAATTTTCTCTCCGATGAATCGCATGCCACGTTGGAACGCCACGCCTCATGTTGCTATAGATATACGGATGCAGTTCAGTGTAGCACGATTTTTTGCATGGCCGCTGTCCCACTGGGTAGATGCTGACTTCGAGGGCCGCATCCGTACAATCAATCCAGAGATCCCCGTGACCTTTCACTAATGCTTCCCAGATGAAGAGGTTTTCTTCGTTTGAGTTGACCACAACCAAGCTGCTTCCCGGCCAGTTATAAGCCGAAGAGATCTGAAACCAACTCATCCTACTGGGGAGTCGGTTGTAGCAAGACTGCTGCCAGTTCAGTCAGCTGGGCGGGCAGGAGGAGCACAGGGCCTGCAAGATACTAATGCAGTATGTCGCGAAGACACTGAGAACTCGTACGGTTTTGGCCTTGAGACACCACATGCTTAAGAGACAAAGTAGTTCGGCTGAAGTGATGTAGAGTTGTCGCTAGTCAGAATACATGTGATTACATGTATACCAAAACGCGCCCCTTCAAGTTGGCGCTGTTAGGCCTAGATATATGTCTCGTAATGTGATGAATATGCGCTAACGCAACCAGGCTCAGCCAGAGATACAATTTCATTTCACAGTCATTAGGCCTATATAATAAAAAAGTACTCACACACGAAGGTCTTTTTGTCGTCGTTATTTCTGTTCATTACTATTTCAAACGAATGAAAAATGAGACGTATAATCAATCAGCAGATAACCTCGTTCCCTTGCTCTAAACTATACCTCACGCCATGGAGCCCTTGCATAATGCTATAAATCGGTCATTTTTTTTCCTGGAAAACAATTAAAAACGAGAAAAGTCTGTATGATTTAAAAGCTCACCACCATTAAAAACTGAATGGTGAATTTGTCGCGGGGGGGGGACAAAAATTGGCAAGTTCCATTATGGGTAGTTGTCATACCTCTGTCTTGGATACTGTCCGTTTGTTGGCCCAGAACGATCACATGACCATGAGATATCTCATTATATACTGCCGATAGTGCGTACACGCGCACGCGCGCGAGACAGAACTGTTAAGGGAAGTTCGAGACCGAAGATATTGTGCCAGTATAACAGGCTAGTTCCCGTCCCCACTGCGCATAAGTTAATGCGGGGACCGCTAACCAGACTATACAGATGTACTCGCTGGTACCCACCACGGGGCGCAATGTGTCCATCCCTGTTAAATGTACATAACTCGGTGTACATGTAATACAGAAAAATTGCAAATGGGTTCTTCCTACGCACCATTTCCAATTATATACACAATGCTATTTGGAAAGCAACAACCACAAAACTGCACTATTATGCTCACAGATTTCACGAGGGAACGGGGCAAATGGAAATGAATAGGGCCTACATGTAAAGGGAGAAAGGGAAAGAAAAGAAACGAAGCTAGTGGACGCAAAGGTCCTGTTGCCTTTAAAACAAAGTGGAATTACCCCCTTCATTAGTGATGCTCTGCCAGTCTGCAGGATTATATAGTTCGATAGTTTTAAGAAGTTCAGGGTTGGGAAAAGGGAACATCAAAATGGATTCCTCGACAGATGTCAACAAACCAGTGGGGGTATCCAGCGAGGGAGGGGGTGGGGGCAAAGTTTCCCCCTCCCACGGACTTTTTAATTTTTTATTTTTTTTCAACTGAGGTTAGGCCTACTTCACAGGTGAGTAGGAAATAAATATATTTCGTTATATTTAGCTATCAAATAAATCAGCTATATTTTTCTCTCCCATTTTCATTTGGAATGAGTCCGAATGTGCGTTTCCGTTTTGAACCCCCCCCCACACCAAAAGCTGGATACGCCACTGCAACAAACTATCACTTCCCCTTAAGTTGGTTTCATCTCTGCCAAGACCTGTGAAATATGCCAAGTACACTTGAAAACATTGAATTTTGGAGATTCGGGAGGGGGAGTGCACCTTTAATTACGCACCAACAGAGTTTGGTGGTCAGTCTCAGTTATTGATGACGAATCTGAGCGCAAGCGGCTGCGCAAGTGCAGTTGTTCATTGAACGCCACTGCTGTCTTCGGGGGCTTGTGTCGTTCGTTTCGACAATTTCACCGTTCAATTCGGCAGCATCATTCAATTGTTCAACTCTATCATTTCGTTCTGCAGTTTCATCATTCAATTATTAAACTGCATCATTTCATTCGGCGGTCACATCCTTCCATTGGGTGTATTTTTGTCATTCGGTAATAATCGATTCTCTGCTCTCCCACGACTATTCGGTATCAGCGTAATCGTCCTGCGCTGCAGGATCGTCCTGTTCATTTGCCAATTTGCCATTCAATTTGGCAAATGTAATGGTGAATTGCCAAACAGAGTGGCGGAATGTCAAATGATGAATTTTTCAAATGGAATGATGGAATGATAAAATTGTAAAATTGAATGATCGACTTGTCAAATGATGAAATTGTCGAAACGACATAGGCCTGAGCCACCGACGACAGCTCTGGTGTTCCACGGAAAGCTATACCCAGCAAGAAATTAGACCGAGGGGTACCCCCCCCCAACATATCCAATCCCTATACACATTCCAGACTTTTATTACTTAACACATCCCCCCCAAGATGTCTGAAAGGAATTCCCCAGATTCCTGCGAAACAATGACCAACACAAAGCAGGGGGGTTCTCTCTGTCTCATACCTTGCTGTATATACGGAAAACCATGGGGAATTCCTGCACATACATTTTTGTTCCACTAATAATGTGTAGGATTGGTGTATAATTGGTTGATTTGGGCTCAAAGAATTACCGGAAAGACCGTAACAAAGAAAAGAAAAATCCAGAAGGCACCCTACGTTATTTTTTTTTTAAACTTGTACGGGCCCACAAACAAAGACGCACTGGACAAGTATTTATATAGAAAACAAAATACAATGAATTTAATGCAAGTGGAAATACTTGTCCCAAATCACCGCCGAATCAAAATATCTGGTTACTAATTTTTTGGTCACAATATGAACACAGTGTGCATTGTATCTCACAACCAGCACGAAGTTAACATTAACAGCGATCCAGAATACAAGGCATGTGAGGGGGCACAAACGTGTAACACTACAATTTCAACTTCTAAAGAAAATCCTGGAATGGTATGGAATGGTTTCTCAATCAGACTATAACAATTTCATTTTTTTACGGGATCAAGGTAGACTACGCCACATAATAATCACACGATGGCAAGCGCCGAGATATGAAGTTTGAACACACACAAAAAAAACTAAATGAAAGTTAACACAAAGGAATTAATGTCAAGATCAAAACAAAAAGGAACTTAGTCCAATTCGCTCTGGTCCTCCCAAGAATGTTCGTTAATCGAATCCGATCCGGCGAGTGAGCAGTCAGCGAGAAAAGTGATGAAACGCGATGTATTGAAGTTCCGACGTTTCCGCGACAGACAAGCAAGGTGGTGACCAGGAACAGCGTCACTCACCAGGAATCAGGGTTATCATGGGGAATACATCCAGCATACGGTGGGGTCCAGCACTACACGAAAACAGCTACATGAAAACGACGACGACTCGGGCCAGCAATACAACAAAAGAGGAACGAGGAGCGGCGAAACTCTCCAGCCACGGTGGAAATGCATACGTGGCACCGTGCTGGTCACAGGGGGTGAAACAATGGTCAGCGGTCCATGCTCGAAAAATCCTCTCTAAATTTTCGGACGTGCAAGAAAAAGTTCACCTCCAAAAGGAACTCCGGTGGCTTGACGTGTAAGGCAGAAGACGTAGAAAAGCAAACAGTCTCCCAGAATGTAAAAAAATAAGCGAAATTTGTGGGTAAAAATCGGCACAATGCACAAGCGGATCACCGATCGTGGGTGAGGTGAAGCCTGAGAGAGAGAAAGAGAGCAAGTCATTCGATCGGCCGGAGAGGGCCTAGTGCGGAGGAAAAGCGCGTGTAAATAATGGACTAACAATTCGGAAGCCGATTGGATAGACAAAGGGTTGCTTTTTACATATTATTATTATTAT